AACCCCAAAACCCCAAAACCCCAAAACCCCAAAACCCCAATTGCATATTATTGAAGAAATTAATGAGTATCAAGAAATTAAAAATAAGTTAATAGGTTTATGTTGTGTATGATTAAAATATAATAAAACAGCAATGATGCAAGAAATTCAACTATAAAATTAACAAACATTTTAGCAGTTTCCCATCAATACTGCCTCTCCTAATAATGCTTAATATCTCAACAAGACCTATAATAATGGCTTTTAGAACGGGACTAGCTAAGCAACAAGCCAAAATTCTATGCAGTTTAATAAATTGCCTTCTATTGAGAACAAAGCTGAGAACGTAGGTAATCAAGGACAGATGTATAATGGCAATAATGGTTAGGGTATTGTATATTCCTAAACTATATCCATGAATCAACCGCTTCAAAGATTACACGAACATCATCCTATCCTCTCTTCTAATGGCTTACTCGCACTATCAAGTAAACTAGAGACAATGAATTTAAACAACAATAAAAGAGAGCAAGGAAATCATAGCACTAATGATAAAAAGAACAATGCCCCGGGATTAATCACAACTTATCAACTGAAGATGAATCTACAGCAATAGCAGTAATAGCATATGATGATGATGGCATAATTCTAATAAGAACTATCTCAAGATAAGACGATAACACTAAATCAAGATAACCCATATTTCAGAGTACCAAAACTTGACGAGTCTGTTCTTAAAAATAACCTTTTTCTAAACAATAATATGAGAAAAGCTAGAGGCACAAATGGCAGTAAATTAAAGAAGTCAGACATGACTGCCCATCATCAAAATATAGTCTTTAGCACATAGCCAAATCACAGACAGAAATAAAATGTATTTAAGAATTAGCTTCTACAAATTGAATCACCAGGCAATCCTGGTAAAGGCATCTAGCATAATAAAGGTGGGCACTTATTCAGTTACAATGAGATTAGAGATCATAAGATAACTCTTAATAGCATTAGAAGACATATACAGAAAGCTTAAGTGTATGAGAATCAATTTTAGCCACTTCATGAATAACAGCAAGACATAATGTCTGGATTAGTTATTCAAAATCTAATAGCTGCTTCTCCAAGTGAGAAGAGATTGAAGAATGCCTAAAAATAACAAGAAGTTGAATATAAATAGATTCAGTTGTATTTGACTAATTAAGATTATCAAAATGCAGTTATTAGAGGTCATCATCATGCTTGGGTCAAGCATGATACAGCTGGTGGAGTTTTGCTTAATGGTATGATCTCTAATATTTAGGCATAGCAGATCTAGCAGTAGAACAGTGATGAGAAGAAAAAACCGATAAGCAGAGGGGATGCAGCACTTAATTCCTTTGTAGGGACACAACACAGAGAAAAGATAAAGAAACTCTATGCCTAAACTGATTAAATTTTGCAGGATACGCTTAATTAAGGATCCCTTTATGTTCATTCATATCCAGACGAGTATTCAGATGAAAAACTAAAGGTTGAAGATTAGAGTTCTGGTTTTCACCGTACTTAAGAAGAATAAAGGACTACTAATGACAGCATATTTGATCCTCTTAGAGACTAATTAGATTAGCCATATTCTTAGCAAGATATGATAAATTAGTATAAAATTTAGGAGCAATAGCTACCCTAAATAAATCCACGTAAATAGTATTGCAATACTTAATCATAACTTGAAAGATCATTTAAAAGAGGTGGCTCTATTGAATCTAAATCAAATAGATCTAGAGTCAAAGGTGATCAATTAAATCCAGGTAATTCTGAAGATAAGACAAGTACCGTTGTTTCAGGCCAAACTGTAAGTTGCAGTATCAATTCCCAAGCAAATAATGGAGGAAGTATCAAAATCTAAAAAGATGGCTTCAAAAGAATTCAAACTATAAAAACCAATAATATTATACTTTCAAACTCTAATGATTCTAAACTAGGAGGAAATAGTAAGCTTTAGAAGCAAATGACTCAAAAAGCAAAAGATATTAATTAGAACAAAGTTAACTTGAAAGGTGAACCTAACCATACAATTAAAGAAAGCTTTAGCGAGGAAAATTTAGAAACTAAAGGCATGACTGAATCAAAAGATAACCTTCCTCTTGTTTCACCAATCTAATAATTACCTTAAAATAATCCAAAACCAGTGAGAAGAATGCCAAACCCCTACGAAGAGTATATGAGAGAATAAGAAAAGATACTTTAACAAAGGAAAGATGCTAAAGAGAAATATAGTAAAATATCATCTAATATATTGATGAAAGGTTCCTAGCCATTCAAAGTAAGTATAAATTAACTGAATTAATTCATAGTTTATCATCAAAGAAGGTAATAATCATCAGATTGTTTAAAGAATAATGAAGCTTAGAGTGTAAGTCTAGGACAATACTATTTGGGAAGAAACACCTTAATACGATAGTCTGTTTAACTTTAAATGGCAGCCAATATCTTATGGAATCAAGTATGACTAGTTAAGTAAATATGGCTAGAAATAACTTGTTAATCATATTGAGGGTCATGAAAATATTACAACTAAAGATTAGTTATTCTTAAATCTCAAATATTACTGTGAGAAAACGAATCTCAATGTTTTTGATAGTGTTCCATTGACTTTTATCCTTGATTTCAAATCAGAAACTATATTTGACTAAATTGATACTTTGAGAAACGTTCATAAAATTATAGAATCAAATTTGGCCATAAGCACTAATGAGCTAAATAAGAAATTATCTCACTACTAAAATGTAGTTGAGAGAAGAGGACATTAATCTAAAAACTCCTATAAACTTATGGAATCAGCGAATGGAGGTATGAATATGTGGCTCTTAAAACCAACTGGACTTAACAGAGGAAGAGGCATTCATATATTTAGGTCGTTTGATGAACTTAAAGATATTCTCTATGAACATTATGATATAAATTGGTTTAATTAGACTTATACCAAGCCCTAATAAATACAATAACCAAAAACATCAGTGCTAGATGTAAATAATACCACAAATCCGTTATTCTTACAAAAAGAAGAAAGTTAAGATTCAAATGCATAGCCAGTTAATGGAGAAGAAAAAGTTTAAAATGCAGCTGTCTAATCCTAATAGCAACAGTAGCAATAGTAATAATAATAGACTAAATTCCGAAGCTTTGCCTTTGTAGTCTAAAAATATCTAGAAAAACCCCTACTTTTTAAATAGAGAAAATTCGATTTGAGAGTTTGGATGTTTATCTCTTTTGACTTCAAATGCTACTTATTCAGAGAATGCTATGTTAGGACGAGTTGTGAAGATTATGACCTAGAATAAGAAAACATGGATAAAATATACATCCATTTGACAAATAATGCTATTTAAAAGAACTCAGATAACTATGGAAAATTCGAGGATGGAAATCAAATCTCCTTAGGGGAACTATCAGACCATTTAGCTGAAACCAACAGAAGTGATGGAATGTCAGGTGCTGAGTTGAAATAATATTTGGAGTCTTAATACAGATAGCTGATTCTTCAGAGTCTTAAAGCTGTAAAAGGAAAACTAAAAATTAGAAAATACACCTATGAATTAATGGGGTATGACTTTATAATAGATGAAAATCTCAAGACATACTTGATCGAAGTAAACACTAATCCTTGCATAGAAGAATCATCCTAGTTATTAAAGATGCTACTTCCTAGGATGTTAGATGATCTCTTCAAACTTACACTAGATGTGTTGTTCCTTCCATAGACTCAATAAAACATTAACAATACTTAGAGTGTTATTCAGAATTAGAGTATAATTTAAACTACCCAGTAGCAAATAATTCCACCTACGACAGCCTAGCAATAATCATCATAATCTTAAAATCTAAATTAGCAGCCATAGAAATCTTAGTTTCCAGTTACTGGGTACGATGATAACATTAATATGTGGGAGCAAATATATACTCTCAATTGAATTTACTAATAATTTATTATCATTGATAAGGATTTATTTAAATGTTAAGGGGTTTTGGGGTTTTGGGG